GTAAATTCCACTGTGCTTTCCTTGCCTACCATATGCTTTGTACTGCTGGCTGCTGGCCACTGATGGCTGAAATTCAGATAAATCCCCCAGACAGATAAGACCTGTGATGGTATAGTATAAGAAAGATAGCTAATTTTAAATTCTCACATTCTAAAGAAACTCACATCCAGAAAATGAGTGTAAGAGCATAACTGTTTCTAAGTTTTTTTGTTTAAAAATTAGACACAATGTGCTCTGTTATGCATTTGCAATGGTGTCTGTTAAAATCCAGTCAATCGGAGATGCTGACTAATTCCAGAAGGTGATGTGTATCTTACGTTCAAATTTACAGATCAAAACCCCTTGTCGACAATATTAAAGGGTTGATGAAGATCCACCAAAATTCCATGTTCTGGTAGCAATGTCAGCTGTTTTTTGACATTTTCAGTTTTGTAATTCAGTGCTAAAACTAAATCCATTCCATTTCCCCCCAAGACTTGTTATATGGAAGGAGTAATTATAATACTAGATGTAGTTCACTAGTCACTACTAGATGTAGTTCACTAGTCACTTCTTTTATTATAGTAGCACTCAGAGACCCCACCTAAGATTAGGGCACCATTGTGCTAGGCACTATACTAGCAGAGTAGGAGACATTACCTGCCCTGAAGAACTTAGTCTAAATATACAAAACAGAAAAAGTGCGGGAGTAAGGAAGTATTATTATCCCCTACTTAACATACCAGCAGCTGGGGAAAAAAAAAAAAAAACTTTAGTGTCTCTCTTTTTCTCTTTACCATTCATTAAAAAATTGTTAGAGTGAACTATCAAATAATTGTGTTTCACTGCTACTGGGAAGGAATGCAGAAAAGACCCCTAACAACTGAAACGTGCAAATTAAAAAATCTGTTGACAATTAAGGTTATAGAAGCTATGAAGAACGGGTTTAGAAATTTCCCAAAATTTGGGCATAGGAAGAGGAGAATAGGTCGATGAATTCTCCTGACAAGAGTATTTGCTATTTCCTTTACCAAGTATTAAATTAACAGCACGTAAAGAGGCACTTTTCTGCCCTGCATCTGGTTATTTCAAACCAAAACTTGGAACGAGAGGCCAAACCTGGTAACGTACCATCCTCCTGTCGGAGACCTCTGCACTGAATTCAGCTAAAGCTCTAGTAACATTGCAATTGGTTTTAACTCACTTATTTCCCCTTGTGTTTTCCTCAGAGGCCAGTACTTCGGTGTTCAGTTCTTTACAGACCTAATAAAGAGTGCAATCATCCTTTCGATTGCATGGAAGCTCTCTTTAATATGTGCATGAAGGGATTATATTAAGGGTGTATATTAAGCCATAAAAATGAACTGCTATGTCTATTGAGCATTCTAGTCTCACAACAAATACTCTACACCCATACTGTAAGCGGAAGCCTGTGGAACAGGTTTCTAAACTCTACTGAACACAATATTCAGGGTTAATTGGATATAGTGGTGGAACCTTGTTTTGCTCTGCATCCAGGGGCCTCCTGCTGAGAGGCAAGGGGGTGGAGAAATTTTCTCCCCCTTGCCAGCTTCTCTACCACATTCAGATAGATCAAAAACTCACTTTACCTGCCCATGGAAGATATTTTGTTATTTTGATAGCTATTCCACTTCACAATGGGAACAGCAATGGCACATCCCCTTAATCACAAGCATGGCAACTGAGGACCAACCTCTGTCCTGACAGGCTCAGCTGGGAATTATACCCTCAGCATATAAGGCTATCTTTTGACTTCCAGGATGACATGCTGACCCCTCACAATACAGACACAACTCATAGGTTTCCATTGTACTGCAAGTCTCACCTTTTCTACAGCTGCTCTTCCCCCAGCCCTCTCTCTAAGGCATAGGAAGCACTTCTTTTAAAAACTTTATCCCACCTGTTGACATTTGTTTGTGAAAAAATACCGGGAAAGAAAAGAAAGGGAGACTTGGAGCTCACAGGCCACTTTTGATTTCCAACAGAGGGGATATGTTGCATGGACTGCATGGGAAACCCATTAAGATTAAATATCAGGAGGCTGTATAGTCTGCTGCCCAGAGCAGAGGACTGAGGCTGGGAGATAAGTACAAGCAGAAGTCCAGGCTCAGCCATTAACATGCTGTTTAACCATGGGCAAGTGATCAGTCCACCTTGTGCTGCAATTATGATTATTATTTATTGGTGCTCCTTGCTCAGTGCTTTCCAAACACTTCCAGAGGACAGTCTCTGCTCCAAGGAGCTCATTAGCTAAGGAATGGCCTGGCTTTGAGTGGGATGTTCCCGCCTTATAGTTGTGACTTGGAAAAAATAACTAGGAGCTCCAGCACTAGACGTGGTCAGAAAATTTCAACCAAAACAAAGTTTTGATGAAACCTGAAAAATACTGTGAATTTTTAATTATTTATTTTGCAAAAGAGGTTTTGATCAGCTCTACCCTACTAGTATTGTCAGTGAGGTACTGCTGGTAGAAGTGTGCGCTTTTGGAGGTGAGAGACCCAGGGTTCTAATCCCAGCTGCCCCAGTAAAAGAGGGAGATTTAATTAGTAATGTGTCTGTCTAATTAGAGGCATGTGTATCTTTAATATCAATTATGGATAAAGAGAATATATTTTAGGCCTGGATATCTGAGATTAATACTTTCTGTATTATTCAGGTATGAAATTTTGGAGCTCTATTCAACTCTGACTTGGCTGCTTCTCTCATATTTGTGAATTCAACTTGCTTAAACACTTCTGGATTGGGTTTATTATTTAATGGTTCCCATGACAGAAGTTTGGTGTGTGTTCCATTTCCCTTTTGACTTAAATTGATTTTGGATCAGGCTCTATTTCAATATGGGTCTTTAGATCAAAACCTTGGTTAATCATCGTTTTAGTTTGGAGCCATTTTCCTTATAGAAAAGTTCTATGGAATTCAATAGAGATGAAACCGGTAGGATCTGTTGAAATTCAATGGGGTTCTATAAAAGTTATTCAAAAAATCTTTTAGAACTTAATAACAAAGGAGAGCCTTTCTAACGATATTTTTAACCACCCCTTCAAATTCTATAATTCTCTATTCTACAGAATGCTTAAGAACTACCCTATGGAAAGGTTCTCACTTTATTTTCCATAGAACTTTTTCATACTGGACAGCCATGTGTGTTTTCGTTTTCCTATTTTCTCCTCTCAATCCCTTATGCAAGTAGGTTTTCAAAAGTGCTCAGGATTAGCCTACCTCTGCTTCCATTGAAGTGAAAGGTAAGATTCCCACTGAAATCAACATGAGTTTTACTACTGAAGTCAATGGGAATAGTTATGTCCATGGTAAGTGCTTTTGAAAATCTTAGCCTAAAGTTCACTTTCTCGGTTCTCCCTAACCTTCGCATATGCTCTTTCAGAATACGCAGCCTATGTTCACACAGCCTCAGTTACAGCTCCCTGATCCAGAGACCAGTCTATGTTGGCCCCAGTGCGGTAGGCTCCAAGTCATCTCATCTTAGTAGAGGATCTGTACAGTGTAACTGAGCTCAACCACCACCATTGAATTACCTTGCCCCGACATACTTCCTGTACCCAGGATGGCTAGCACAGGAGCTGACTTTGCACTAGCATGGAGTTGCCCTCCATTAGGGAAATTCTCCATCAGCCGTTTACCACCAAAACTCAATCCTCAGTATGATTGCACAAGTTTATTTTTCTCTATCTTGCCTGTTCCTTTTCTATTTTTTGCATGCAGCCAGGTGAGAACTTACACAATGTCTGCTGCAAATTGTCTCATTCATTACATTCAGTGGGAAAAGAAACTATTCCAATTACCTGGTACAACATAGGCCTGAACAAATCCCTGTTCGGAAATGTGTGCTTGATTTTCAGAAGGTGCTGCTAGAAGTGTTAGTGGCATTCCAAATGCTGCAGTGGATTTCTGCACCACGAACACCATTTTATATCCTTTACAAGTGTGCACATCTAACAGCGGACAATAAATCTATCTCACTATTACACATCCAGGTTGTTATAACCATCATAAATCAAGTACAGCTGGTAAAGCCATAAAATGATGTCAAATCATATTTCTAGTTTCTAAAGAGAAATAGGATTATTTGCCAGTCTCTCAATGAAGCTGCAACGTTAAAAGTCATATGCAGAAACAGTTGTCAGATAGGTTATCCACCTTTAATTAGGTAATGATATTGTCTTTTTCTCTCTCCTCATTTAAAAATGCTTCACATTATGTAAGTCAGTCATTTGAACAAGAATTTATAATAGGAAAACTCCCATACAAATAAATGAGGCATAAGTACTATTATTATTAAGTACCTGCTGTTTCAGAATTCCTTAGCAGCTAAGTTCAGTATATTTGAAAGCTTCCTCAATTAATTACAGATAGGGTTTGCTAAATAAATGCCGTCATCAGCTTAAACACCAGATTTTCAAAGGTATTTATGTACCCGAAAGATGTTGACTGGGGGGTAGTAGGCCCTAAGCACTTTTGAGAATCCTACTATGTGCCTAAATACCTTTAAAAAAATCTAGCCTTAAGTGGCCATCTGAGCTCATTAGTGGGAAGATGCAATGCTACACTTGGAAGGAACTTGGGTTAATCAATATAAAAAGTCTCTTAAAAAAAAGAAATCATTTGTCTGAGATTCTTATGAAAACAATAGACAAGCAGAAAATATTACTGTGTGCAGGCTAGAGTTACTATTTTCTGGCTGCTGGATAAGTTATTTCTCCTAGGAGAAAGGCCTTGAAAGAACAACAGCTCAGTGTCCTATCTAGCAGCAAATGAACAATGCAAGCTTTTGAAGAAGAAGGGCTACATACAATATAACGGGAAACTAAATTAAATTTTCACATGTTTGAGGGAAATATCACTGGACTTATTTATAACAAAATCTGTCTGAACAAAACGGGCAGCATCTGTTAGAAAAGCTGCCTTATTAACTGCCCCCACAATTCCCAATGCAATTTTGCGTGACAGACAATAATGTTAAAAAAATATGATTTAAATTTTACCTTCCCGTATCTGGATGCAAAGGTTCCCGTGAGTAAGGAGTGAAAAATAATTATCGTCTCATCCAAATCCCACACAAACACCCGCTGTGGTGAAAGACAAAGGGGAGGGAAAGAGACAAATACATTCACACGTTAAGCATTTTCAGGAGTGAATTTAATTAGAAAAAAATATTATGTGGCTACATATTTTTTAAGGTAACAAAATCACTTTAAGCATTGATCATAGCTGCCTTTTTAAGGTTGGTAAAAAAAACAAACAAAAAACCCCAAACTCTGCTCTCCGATTCCATATCTGGTCTGACAATCTGCTATCCCAATATGCATAGAAATCCCAGTAGGATATTATGTCAGGAGAGCAAAATAACAGACTCCAATGCTGCCTTAAAAGCCAGAGTACCGAATTTTGCCTATGACGATTATACTGAGACAACAATCATTTTTCTTTTAAAACTACATCAGCCGTGGTGGCGAGGTCTCAAACATCTTGCCTATGTTTTGGCTCATACCACTCTCTGGTCTAACAGTGGATTATTTGCAAATCAATGTAGCAATTTCTCTTGGCTGGATTTATGATCAGAAAAGGAATTAATATTGTTACCTCAATCTCATTGTCAACTGTAGGGGAAGGATCGTTGCTTCTTTTTGATCGGCCTCGTAACTTTCCATCAGACCCTCTGTGTTGCCTGTCTGTTTCTGTATCTTTTACTGGTGTGGTTGCATATTCCCCTATTGAGAGAAAAAGGGATCTCGCTGAAAGCCTAACTTTTGCAGTGTATTTCTTTTCACATGTGTTTCTTGCGATACTTTTATGTTATCCAAGAAGTATCTTTTAGCAAAGGCGTGACAACTGCTTTGGTATTTGGTACTTAGTTATTCCACAAGCCTCTTAAAAAAAAAAAAAAAGTTTGTTCCAAAGGTTAGTGTTTGAGTGGGTCAAACAATAGAAACATTTCACAAACATTTAAGAAAATATATTTTAAAGTTTAAAAAAAAAAAACCAACAGATTTCATTTTTTTGAAAATTTTCATACTTTTTAAAATCAGGGGTTTTTTTTAGTATTCTGGGGTTTCCTTTCTCCCTTTTTTATTGGAAATGGGGAAGTAAAAAAGCAAAATTTCAAAACATGAATTTTTTTTCAGTGAATTTTCATGATTAAAAAGGCCATTTTTCAACAACAAAAAATTGTTTACAAAACCCAGCTCTAGAATATTCCCAAATACATGTGTGTTTTAATCCAGTTTAGCTGTTTATCAGAGGACAGAAGGTACAGCAGTTTAGAAACACTTGAGAATAATAAACCAAAGGTGAAGGTCACTGTGTAAAGCATCAATTGATAGGATTCACTTTCATAAAACTCTCTAGATATCACTTACGTTAAATTACAAATCCTTTTCAAACATTTTTCTTTTCACCTTGCTAACTTGTAGCCTCTCAATCCTCCTGGTAGGGACGCACTCTTCTTAAGGAGAGTTTGGGTTGTTCCTAAGAAGTCTCTTTGAAATCACTGTTTCTCAAGTAGACTGAGATAAGATCTAAGGAATAGAAAATCCTCCAACTGCTTTTAGAGCAATCTGCGATCACTTTTTAAAAGCAATATTAGTTTATTTTTCTTTTTGAACAACCACAGATGTTCGGATTTGTTCCATAAGTCAGCAGACCATACAATGGGTGTATATTGTGATCATCCACAAATTATGTGGTATTTTATATAAATGTTATTGCATGCCAATGAAAACTTTAGTGGAAAAGTGACATCTGAAAGCTGTATTCAGACAGTACATAGGATGATAATGATCTGTCAGTAATTCCATAGACTGCTTGAGCCCTCAGAGTCTCAAAAGTAAGCACTCCAGGAGAATCGAGATAATTTCAAAGGTATTGATGCCATATGTGGAATTCATAATTGACATTTAACACAACCTGTTTTCTCTTGATTTTTTTTTAAGAGAGAATCACTTGAATTCCTTTTAACATACTTACGAAGTCGGATGTTATGTTTAGTGGCTAGAAATTAGCTAAAAACTAGAAGGAGGCTGCAAAGGTAGGAACTTTTTAGATTTTGCGTGAGTTTGGATATAGATTTTGGGTTGGGCTCATCACTAATAAAAACTATCTGTTAACACACTAGCCTGTTTAAAAGTCGTGATTAATAACATTTTCCCTTTCTAAACCATCTTTTATTTGAAGGTGTGAGACCACTCACACCAGGAACACATTTGGGCTATAGGAAGCAATTAAGAAATACTCATGAAAAGAACATGGCTTATACAGCACTTACATTTTCTGAATTGTTCTCTGAATTTGTGCCTGCAGTTGTAATGTCATCGGCCTTTGCCCCCACAAAGGACACATGCAAAATTGCTGGTGTAAGTAACAGAACTTTGCCATGAACTTTAATTTGTTGGTGTAAATTTATACGCTCACAAATCAGACAGCAAAGTTGTATTATTTGTGCCCACAGATGATTGAGCCTGTAAAACAGTGAACTGGTTTTACGTAATATAATGTATCCACCTACCAGACAGTGATTCTGTGCTTTGACTGGTGATATTGTGTGAAGACTCTTGGAGAGAGTATGTGGATGCCGGGATGGCTGATGGACTGATGCTATTCGCCGATACATAAGGAGAGTTGTAGGAAGAGGTGTAATACTGAGAGTACTGGCTTTGAGGAAAGCTTGGATAGGACGAGTATTCCTTTGGGGGAAAAGAGACATGAGTAATCCTCCTGCATCACAGGCTTTTACTACATAGACAAGTGGGTAAGGTAAAGCACGTGGCAGATACCTTCAAGAGTTGTGGGATCTGGGCACACTTTTTCCAAAGACTCTTGTTCAGGCCACTCTGGTAGGTATTTCTGCTTCGCCCATGTCTAGTTCTGCTTCGTTTGCATCAGCAGAATTTACAAGGAGAGAAGAGTCATAACAAGCCCTGCCTTTTTCTGTGGGATTTGTTCACCATGGCTGGCCCTTTCTGAGCACAGGGTACAGCAATTTTATGCAGGGGAGTGATGTGAACTACTGTTTCCAAAGGGACTGAGATGCAACAGATGGCCACTGTAAGCAGTTCTAAGCACAAAAGTGACTAAAAGAACAGGTGAAAAATACAGAGCGGGGAAATCACAAAAATATTTGCAATTTTCCTCTACCTGTTATCAACGTTTTTGATCAGCTGTAGAACGGCTGACAAAATGAAAAAAATAATACTCCGCTTTATAGAGCACTTTTATCAGTAAATCTCTAAGCACTTTACAAAGGAGGGTGCCATTATTATCCCCATTTTACAGATGGGGAAACTGAGGCACAGAGGTGATGTGATTTGCCCAAGTTTACCAAACAGGCCAGGGGCAGAGCCAGGAATAGAGCCCAGGGCTCCTGAGTCCCAGTCTAGTGTTCTATCCACTAAGCCACACAGAAATGTCTAGAAAATATTTTGAAGTGTTTCCCAAACGGTTTAGTTAGTGAATGAATCCCTAAACAATCTCCCCTTCCCAAAGGTAAGTTAACTACATAAGAGGTTTCAGAGTAACAGCCGTGTTAGTCTGTATTTGCAAAAAGAAAAGGAGTACTTGTGGCACCTTAGAGACTAACCAATTTATTTGAGCGTAAGCTTTCGTGAGCTACAGCTCACTTCATCGGATGCATACTGTGGAAAATACAGAAGACGTTTTTATACACGCAAACCATGAAAAAATGGGTGATTATCACTACAAATAATCACCCATTTTTTCATGGTTTGTGTATATAAAAACGTCTTCTGTATTTTCCACAATACGCATCCGATGAAGTGAGCTGTAGCTCACGAAAGCTTACGCTCAAATAAATTGGTTAGTCTCTAAGGTGCCACAAGTACTCCTTTTCTTTTTACATAAGAGGTGCAGATGATCTTTGCTGGGGCGGGAGGCGGGGGGACAGGAGGATTAATCCCAAAACACCCCACTGGAACTCAATTCCTGGGAGAAACATTTTAAGCAATCTTAGGCCTGAAGTTAATGGGAAGTGTCCATTGACTGATTCAATAGGAGCTGGATCAGGCCCATCACAAAAGTATCACAATAATAAGTCCCTTTGCTGAGTTCAGCATACAGCACATTTCTAGGCTCTCCACTAAAGTTGCAGGGCCTCTCTGTGAGGGATGAGTGTACTGTATGCTACTTACCACACTCTAGGATTTAATAAGACATATAAATTAATTAAATGGACAGCATCAAGGCCAGGAGATCTAAAATAATACCCCCAGCTGTGTTTTGCTTTTCAGGAGCACACATGCCCTTCATAGCCTCCCTCCATTCTGCCTATCTCCTCCTTTCCTGTGAGGAGGTGGGATATTGAAATACACAAGATTATTCCTCTCTGGGCACTTCAAAACATGATATTTTGTTGCTGTTGTAAATTTCAGAGCCTAGCATATTCACATCAATTGATCAGAATGGCATGACAAAGCAGTCTGCATGCACTTATGGTACGGGGATGCAGATACCAGTGACGTCCAAGCCACAGTCTAACACACTGGGGTGGTTGCTGGTAGTGTTTGACCGTTTATCGCCGCTGTAGCCCTCATGTTGGGAGAGCTGATGAGGGTTCCAAACTCAGGTAAAGCTATTTAAAAACACCATACTTTTATTTTTAATTTAAACAATAGTTCTGCTTTGGGTATTTCAACCCTGAAAAAACAAATCACAGGATCAAGGTGACATACCAAGGTTTTTTTTTAAAAAACTTCAAGTCTTTGCCCATTTTTGCTTCTTCATGACATATAACGAAAGGTGGAATTTTTTTGTTTTAAATATTTGTCAAAAAAATAATTTTTTTTTTACTTCAGAAATAGCAAGAATATCAAACCCCATCTTCTCTGGCTGTTGTGCAGGACAGGGTAAGGGTCTCAGATGTATATTGTGAGCTCTCACTCTTTAACATAAGGGGAGGAATACTGAATTTTTAACAAAGAGGCTTTCTCAGAAATGTTCACGTGACATTGATTTTAAATAGGTGTTAACCAAAAATCCCTCCCTCCCTCAACTAATCGTGTTTTAGGCTGATGTGATAATTCTCAGTCACCTGAGAGTCCCCAAGGGCAAACAGACCTGAGTTTCCAATACAAAATAAAGTTTTTTTCTTAAGGTCTTTTTTATCCCATAATTAAAAAAGAAGACACGAGCCCAATTATTTTTCCCTTTTGCATGTCACCTTCAAACTTCAATCAGGTGCATGTCTCTGGGCCTTTACTGACCATACTGTCTTTCAGCAGAATATGAAACAAAGAAACAACCCACTATTGTTTTCAGAAATACAAGAGCCACTATCAACTCCTTGCGGGGAGGAAATTGGAATTTACTGTTCCTTGGTCTTGCAAGGTGACTTGCTAAGGACAATGCCTTCATGTTTGGTCCAGACAAACTGAGCAACTGGCTATTAAGCAGCCTGAATTTTCCTATTGTGGCTGTGCCTTATATAATACACACACACTATATAAAGGTGCCAACAAATGTGAAGTGTGAAGCTCACAGACAGGTGTACACTCAGATAAGGAAGAGTATGGATGGCTTAGATAGCTCAGTATTCACCAGAGTCTGTGTATGACTCTTTCAGATTGTTTATTCATATTTATTACCTAAAGCCAAGAGACCAGAGGAAAGGGTACAAAGGGGGCGCTCTCTATAGCTGATGGAAAGACACTGCTTTTAAGAAAGCTATCATATGATACCATGGGCTCCCCATAAGAATTCTGAAATGCTTTCAGCATTGCAGCCCAACAACTGCCCAGGTCAGAGAACGCCAGTGGAGAGACATACAGTTTTGGCAGGGCTCTGTTGCAAAGATCCCTGCTGAGCCATTGCTGTGCATATATGTATCCATTTATTTAAAACACAAAAGGCCAGATGTTAGGTCAATCACCAGGCCAGGTATCCATGGAAATAGGTGGTTTCTGTGACTACATATACTATTAGCCTCCTTAAATACATGTGAAAATTGTGGCAGTCTCTCTAATCTGGAAGATTTTGGTCTTTAAAATAAGGGACATTGGAAATAACTACTGAGGCTGTACCTGATGAACAGTGCTGAATCCTGCAGAATTGGTCAGGCCATTGGCTCCTTGGTAAATCCCTGATGTGCCTGTGAAAAATAATATCACATTTACATATAACAGATTTCCTAAATATCAATGTAACAGAATATGCTTACATCGACAGTCACACAACGGTAGGAATAATACATTTATCCTACAAAACAGTATGTGGCAAGTCAAGAAAGCTAGGGAATTGCTTCTAATGCCAAGATTTGGGCCACTGCTGAATTCAAAGGTAACCACAAAATCCATTTTAAAAATATGTAATGGAGCCAGGAAGTAGCCACACGCTAAAGCTGGAAAAGTTGGCTGAAAACAAGCTTGCAACATGGGTCCTTGTGAAACATGATTTGTATTTTTCAAGATACATTAGCACAGAACTTTCCAAATGTTTTCCTACACTGTGCCTCTAGAGTTTACATCTTTTCATCCACGTAAATACCGGCAATTGTACATCCCATCAGTTGTTTGTGCAAACAAAGACTTCAGGTGCAAGCCATATGCCCTGCAAATATATGTTTTGGTAAACCATGTTCACATGAAGTTTGAAAATTTGGACCTACATGCCTCTTTCCAGGGTTAGAATTTCATTGTCAAGTTTCCTGGCAATGCAGGGACTGGAAGCATTGGCACTGCTTAGTCCTGATGTTATTAAGAAGAGGGATGGATGCTTCATATCACCCTTGCATAGTTTCCTCAGGTTGATATTTGCATCTGCTTCTGGGGGGAAGAGCTACTGCATCAGCACTGCAGGACATTGTGTGCAGGGATGGGGTGAGGGGAGGATTGAGAATTCACAGCACAAGGACAGGAGGGGGAATTGGTCGTGGTGCAGAAACAGAATATCCTGAAGCTTCCCATCCCCTAGATCCTCCCTCCTGGAAATGCCTAGACTGTTATATTAACTGCAGTCTACAAAGTTTCAGCTTCAAGAGTTCCCTCTTCAAACGATTGGAGAACCACTTCCTGAAAGCTCTTCTTCCTTCAGCTTGTGTAGTGCGACAGTAGCTCAGAACCATGTGTTTTGTCCCCTAATTTGTGAAGCAGTGCTTGCTCCCAGAGCTGGGCCCAATTCTGCTTGTAAACTACCCTCCTATCTAACACAGAGAGGCAATCTAAAGAACATATAGTGCTCCATCTTGATGGAAACCTCCAGCCAGCCTCCACAAAAGCATTACCTTTTGTGACCTATTATCTCTGTGGCAGCCTCAACTTCATATTAGTGGTGAGGGCAGCTGTGATCTGTAAGCTAGATGTTATTTTGTGCTCCTGGCAGCTTGTCACTGTGGTCCTTGGCTGGGCATCATTCAATCACCCCCTTTGTTTTATTAGACTAGAACCTGAGGACCCTAATTGCAGATACACATAAGAGCGTCATTTTTCGTACTCTGGCTAGTGCCATGTGAATTTCTCTCTCATATATATATATATATATATATGCCCAGTGCTGCTCTAACCAGAAGTTGGAAACAAATGCCTCTCAGTGTCTTCACGTGGTATCCTTTCTCCAAAGATTGACTTGTTTGTTTTTAAGACCCTAGATTAGCTGAGGAATGGACAGCTGAACAAACTGCAGCCCGCCAAGTGCAGTCACAAAAGCACATGCAGTGAGAAATAAATCTCATGCCAAAAAGAAACAAGGAGGAGGATCTGTCTTCAGAACTAATTTGTCGCCACATGTAGCCTTTAAAAGCCTTACAAAAAAAAGTGGGAGGAGGAGGGGAGGGAGGATGGGCTGATCATGAGCTGAAGTTTTCTTCCAGTGCAGCCCCCTGTAGAATGCCAGACTCTGTCATTTCTTCATCTGGGGACCATCCCACATTATTACACACACACACACACACACACCAGAGGGTTCAGATGCCAGAGAAATACATCAAAAAGAACTTGCAGATATTAACAGCTTTTTTTGTATTCTGGTGAAACAGGTCTACCCCTACCCAGAAAGAATGTCACTGGGTAAATCAAAATCCAAGAGATTAATAGGCCGGGCCTGGTTTTCAAACAAGCAGTGCTGGTAATTGTGTGGGTCCTTGGATACACTCAGTGGTCCAGATCCTCAGTTTTTGTAAATGCTCCATGTCCACTGCTGGGATCTGAGCCAGAGAGTCATGCTCTGGTGGCATTAGAAGAGGAAGCGTCACATGAGCAAATTTCACCTGCTACTAGTGGTTTTGGAGGACGTGACAACTCACTGTCCGATCCTTCCCTCCCAAAATGATCAAGCCAGCCCTTCTGTAGCAGCCTGGAAGAGCATTTCTATACTACAGCACCCTCAGCTAGACATTCATCCCACACTCAGTTTTGTCATTTCTTCTTTGCACACTTTTTAAAAACAGGATGAATAGATTCCCCTAGTAACTAAGCATCTCTGAACAAAGTGTGAAAGAGAGTAATAGATCCCCAATGCTTACAGGCAAATACAACTTTCACAGAACACAAAACAGTTCTTGTACACCAGAGCTCAAAACAATACAGGAGGGAATGTTTGATCTTCCTCAGCTGTCAGTTTAAAACAATCCATCATCCTTTATTAAAGCTGTCAGGAGGGGGATGAGTTAACTCGAGGGACTCATGCTCCATGTGTAAATTGTGATGAGAACATGTTTATTGCTGTGCTACTTGCAGATGATACTGTATCTTTCTGGTTTTCCAAATGATTAGAGGTAATTAAAAGTCAATATGTAATATGGGAATGAACTTGCATTGAACTTTGCACCTGCTGTGTAATCAAAGTGTGTGTTTGTGCGTGTATCTGGAGGGGAATTGCAGTAGTGTGTGGGAGGGTTGAGCTTCGTAGCCTCCTATCAAATTCAAGACTGGATTCTACACTATCGATTAAACTACTCCAAAAACAGTATAGTGCAAAAAGAAAAGTGGTGGAGAGTTAATGCCTCTTTGAGGAAATCTGTGCTCAAAACCACAAAAATATTCTGCACACAAGAGTATCTTAACAAGCTCTCTTCCCAGATGTGTACAATGCTGCTCCTTTTCCCATGGGATTTTAAAAGGGAAAACTTGAAAGGAAAACACACTTTCTAATTCTGTAATTTTATCATTCAGTGAATTTAGGGAAGGCAGAAAGATGCTACATTGATAAATCTGGAGAAATGAATGCAGGGTAGAGGCAATGGACACTTCCCACATACATACACTGTCTCTTGTCAATGTGTCCCAACCGTTACTAGAAGCATCCACCTCTTGGAGAAAGGAGTTCAGTCTCCATTAACCATTCAATACTCAGCCTCTTCACTGAGACTGCCAACAAAGGCAGTGTGGCAAATTGCCAGTAGGATTACGATGGGTCCCGTGCTTCCTCTTCTTGGGTGGGGGTTCAGGGCACAGTTTCCTGCCCCTGAACTAGGATATTTACTGTCCCACTAGTAATCCAGAGAAGGGTAGTGGAGAGGGAGGGACCCGGGCCTGCCCTCTATTCCGGGTCCCAGGCCAGGGGCCCTAGGGATAGTGGTAAACCACTTGAACTAGTGCTTCCTTTCCCTGGGCTACTTCGCTCTCCTGCTCTTCAGCTTGTGGGGCTTCCTGCCCTCTCTCTCTCTGCACAAGCCGGGTGTCTCTTTACCTAGGGTCTTGGTCTTCTAGCCAGTCACGGCACTTCTCCAAGCTCTCCTCTGCTCCAATTTCTTCAAACTGCTCTCTGCTCCAACTCCTGTTTTTTGGTTGATTGAAGCAGGGGGGGTTTATCAGGTGACTAGCTTCAGGTGCTTTTAATTAATCTATAGAAACCTTTCTTTCCTCTACAAGGAATAAGGCTTCTCCTCATCCAGGGACTTACACATCTCTCCTATATCACTCTCCTGCTGCCTTCTGGCCATGCTGTATCACAGGCACTTACTGCCAATTGTTGAGGAGGCAGAATTGACACCTGTCTACTGGGAACTGGACCAAGACTCATCATCTCATTGCACATATGCCACCAAACAGATTTTCACTGGGTGGTGTCTTTCAGTCAGTGGGCTGGATTTGAACCAGCGAATTAGCTCTGTATTCCATTCCTAAACTCTTGCGCATCGTTGTCTTAATTAGACCAAAGTTAACCATCCTGCTTCCTCTCCTATCATGCGTATCACGCTGTACGGGTAAAGCACCCAGTGGGTGCTCTGCAGATGCCCACTGAGCAGGGTCTTCTCCTGACACCCTACAAGTGGGGCTGCAGAAAGAGCTGGCTCCATCATTAGACACACCTGGCAATGCTCTTGTGACCAGTGCTAACAAAAAAATAAATAATCAAAATTTCCATTCTGCTGATTCACAATAAAGACTTGAAATATCAAAAACGTTTATGAAATGGAAAGTTCTCAAAGATTTGGATAAAAAATGTAGACACATTTAATTTCAGCTTGGTTCAACATTACTCTGTGTTCTTCTAAGCTGCTGTGGGAGTTGTAGTTCAAATGGCTCCCGCTCCCATTCTCACCTATGGGCTGGGCTCTCTAGCCAGACTACATTTCCCATAATTTTTTTTCGGTGGTTTTCTTTCTGGTTAAACTGTTGTGCTGCATCATGGAAGATATAGTCTGGCCAGAGAGCCCAGCCCAGCGAGGAGATGGAGGGCAGTGGGCACAAGGCACTGCAGCGGTTCACAAGAACACAGACTAATGGTGAACCCAACCCCAAATATTTTGTTTCAGTTTTTCCTGACTGAAAACTGAAAAAGTTCAGTAAAATCAAACATTTGCCACAGATAGTTTTGATTTTGTGGAAACTTCATTTTCCACAAAAAAAAGTCAAAAAATTCTCAAAAAGTTTCAGCAGTGACACTGTCAAATGACACCCCTTCACCCAGCCTTTATCAAGCACCTCCCTTCCATTCCTGTTGTTTCCTGCCACCTGTCCACTTATGTCAAACTCTTTCCCAGGTGGTAGGATGTGCTTCGATAACCAGCGATGGGCTTGAGCAGCTTCTGAAAAGTTTAGGTTGTGTGTGTGTGGGCGGAGAAAGGGGAGGTCTCTGGAGTCCTTGGGATGTGTCCCATATTTGCAATGCCTGGGCTCTCTCATCTCTGAACTGATGCTGCCCTGATGTGTA